CCATATATCATCAAGAATCACCAAATATCGTTGTTCTTTCAAGATATCATAAAGCATTTCAACCAACTCATGCTTTTTGAGTCTATCGATCACCTCTCTTTCTTCTCTAGAAGGAGACAGAACCTTTATCAAGACTCCATGGAAAACTTCTCTTGGCGTGCATTGCTGGGATATGAAAACCCAAGCACAACAATCAAAATGTCTTTTCACATCATTGTGATTGTATACTCTCTTTGCGAGAGTGGTCTTACCTATGCCCCCCCGTGTCCACTATGGAAACAACACGGAGTGTATCCTCTTTCTTCATTAATTGATGCATAACATCCCTCGTGCTAACCTCCAAGCTGACAACATCATCTTCTTCAACATGTGGGTACGATCTTCTTAACCGGCGCTGCATCTCAACAGCAGAATTAAAGCCCTCTCCTTCTCCTGATATCCCATAAGCCGGGAGAGTTTTGGAGATGTCCCCAAGCTTGGTTTGAATAGCTTTGACCTGCTTCCCAATTTTGTGAGTGGAAAGGGTTGTAAATCTCTTGATGATCCCATGGAAGCCAAGCCTCCTTGATGTGCAACTTTAAGAATGTAAGTCTATAACATCTCCAGTATCATAAGCAAGATCTCTGATTTCTCTCACCCGAGTGCGGAGACGTTCATCTTGTCCTTGCTTACGGTCTACATCTTTCAAGAAGCTCTTCATCCGCTCGAGTTGAGCCTTTAGGCTCTCATCTTCTTCTCTCACATCATCCCAGAAAAACGCTTCATGAATGAGTAAATCTGCAATTCTTTCAATGGCAAGGGAGACGATTGCCTCTGCCATTTTTCTTTCAAAGCCAAGACAGACGAAATGCTACAGGGCTGTTGATGTCGCAAAGTCGATGGCTTTTGCAGGAGAAAAATAACTTAGACCATATTAACAAAACTGTTTGCTAAAGAATATTATTCTATACACACAATTTGTGTATCATTATTACGTATCCTTGCCACACCAAACATTTTAGATTATTTAACATAATACTTTCATCAATATTTGAGATCTCAATGTAACATTGACTAACTCAATTTCCTCCATCTAATTCAATTGCCTTCGGATTTACTTCAATTGCAGCACAAATTAAGCAAAAACCCAAAATTTCAATAGCTCAAAACAGTGTGGAAGTTCTGCCATTGAATACCATACACAAGTTGCTTCTTTTTTAGGCTTCAATAACATTTAATAACCCAAAGCTTCAATTGCAGCCCTACCATGAGATCATACATATTCCATTAGATAAAAAAAAAAAAAAAGGAAAGGAAAAACATTTTAAAGTAATTTAATTGTTAATTAACAAGCTATAGAGCAGAGCTATTTCCAATTACATTGACCAAGTAATTATTGAGATAAGGCAGGTATTCCTCTCTATAGTAACAAAAAAAAATTTGGTGTTGTTAACTTTTCCTATATGCAATTAAAAATTTTTATAAAAACCTAGCAATATATTGAATCTTAGATAGGTATAATAAACAAAATTAATGCTATGAGTAATGTTCAATGTAAAATAAATAAAATTGATTGATAGTTTACTGTTAATGTTATGAACTTTAATTAATTGAAAAATAAATTATTGAATATAATAATCCTAAATTTGTCTCAAAGCAGTAATTACCAAAACCTAACAATGATTGAATGCATAATTATTTATGTATACTTTAGTAAATATTTATGATTCCCATGTAACATTGAATAACTCAATTTCTTCCATCTTTTCCAATGGCCTTTGGATTTACTTTAATTGCAGCACAAATTAAGCAAAAAACCCAAAGCTTCAAAAACACAAAACAATGTGGAAGTCCTGCCCTTGAATACCATACACAAGTTACCTCTTTCTTTAATCTTTTGTTTTTTTTTGTTTCTTTGGATCAGCAAATAATTTAGACATGAATAAAAAATAGAATGTAAAACACTCTTATTGATCACTCTTCTTCTAATAATTTAATGATAAGAAGCATATATTATGTCTAATTAGTTAAAAAAATTGAAAGACCTAACTCTAAAACGAGAAAACATAGATTAAGAAATTAATCATGTGAGTAAAGACACAATGCGTGTTTTAATTACTTGTATTTTTCATAATAATTATCTCTTTTTAAAGTAAAATTGCTTCTTTAGCAATTGTTTGTGCAGAAATGTATAAAAAATCACAAAAAACAGTACAAATGTGAGGCTAAGAGATTTGTCCTGGAAACATGTATAAAAATGCTTCTCAATTGATTGAAAAATGAAGCTTCTAATTTCTAACAGAGTTGTCTCTGTACATCGAGTTCCTTGTTTCAACTTGCATGATAGATTACATAAATTATATATGAATCCTTCTGCTTGTATTTTTTTTTCCCTTTCATCAGGTTACTTTGCCTACTAATATCGTCAAAGTTTTAACATAATTTAAGCAGCATTTTAGATAATTAAAGAAGCAGAAAAGCTAAGACTCTTTCTCTATGTTATGTCATAAGGTAGGAATCCTATATCTAACAAGAAAGAGTTGACAAGCAGCCGCTTTCTTAGAATTTCCAATCTCACCGAGCCCTCTTGCTGTCTCATTGAGAGTGGAACAAATGGGAACAAACTCAGAAAACAGAACTTTTGGGTAGCTTTTGCCTTTTAAGTGCTAGCAAACAAATGGATAATCTTCTCCTGTGAAAATCTAAAACTTATTAACAATTGGTTCATTCAAACTCACAGCAATTCATTTGTAAAGGGTACTTGATCATTAGATTCAGTTATCAAGAAGCAGAAAAATACAAATTAAACTTTCAAACAATCAACAAGCAAATCCAAGCGATTCCCCATGTTGATCTTATTGGCAGAGTACATTTCTGGGTCAATTCGATTTACCTACACCAAGAAGAAAATGACTGTCATCTTTTATGGAAAGGATAGACCCAAATCAGGACAAAAGAGATGATCATATAAATATCTAACTCACCTGCAACTACTTTGAGTTGAGGATTTCACATTGCAAAATTAGAGTTTTTAACCTCTCAACATGGGAGTCATTCGGATGGAGGGTATGTGGCGTACTTTAGAGAAATCCTCTCCTTCTCTTCCGTCTATCACTTGGATCCTCTCTACCAATGACCTCTTCAAATAGCATAATTGCATTTCCTGGAGAGCAGTAACATACCTCAACCCTTCTGGAAAAGTCCTCAAATTTGGAATCAAACTCAGACTTAAACTCCGGAGACGTGGCATTGTGCCTTCTTCTATCTGCCACTCTTCTAAGTCACATAATTCATGAAAACTAAGAAAGTCGAGTTGAAGAAAATCATTCGCAGAGCAAACCATTTTAGTCCCCTTATATGAGAATGTCCATAAACGGAGAGTCCTCAAATGACGCAGCTTTCCCAATACAGCCATTGGATCCTGCTTCACATAAGAACGCTCCAAAGTTAACTGGACAATGCTTGCTGGCAGAAAATTCAAAACATGATGGCTCGACTGTGGATCTTCTCGTATCACCCCTCTTAATGATAGTTTTGACAAGTGATGGCAATGAGAAAGGGGTTCCAAGTCTGGGGATGAGACTGAATGCACTGACCTTAAGGCCGAGAACCCCATGTACAATGACCGGAGGCGTTGTGATTCAGTCAGTGCTTTTACGATAAGCTGCACATCTTTTAATCTCTCAAAATATATTTTTAAACTCCGTACATTGGTCAAGTCGAACACTGCATTATTTTGATTTAAACTCTTGCCTCGTATGTTCTTCAAAGTTTCCATATTTTTTAAAATATCCCTTCCCAGCAAATTCGCATCTTCAATAGATAGACCATTCACTATAACATGCCTTAAGCGTCTCCACTTGAATAAAACATGAGGAATACTTGATTCTAGATCAAAGATGTCTAAAGTGTGTAAATTCTTCAACTTGCCAATAGACCTTGGCAAGATGACGCCTCCTGATTTTGGTACCCTCAACTTCAAATATCTCAAATGACATAGGTTACCAATTTCATTTGACACATGCCACCTGTCAACCTCATTTCTCACAAGATTCAACACCCTTAAAAATTTGAAATCATTGCATTTTGAAATATTCAATTCCATCAATTTGGCTTGAAAGAACAATAGAGAACGTAAATTTGGATGGTTTCCATTCAAAACAACATACCTTTTGCTGGGATGAACTGCAATTATTCGTGCCATAGATGGTGTCAAGTTCACATGATCATCATTTTCCATCAATGATGGCTGAATAATTTTCAAAAAATTCTCCTTTTCAGCTTTTCGCGCGCACAAGTCTCTCAAGAGATCATGTATCCGACATGTTTTCACACTTGTTCCTGTATAGTCCCTCCGCCCAACTTGAACCAAACATCTATCTATTAGCTCTTCTAAAAATCGTTCAGCTACCTCCTCCATCAGCATTCCTTCTCTGCTTTCCCATGACGGTGAAATGAAACCTTCAGCAATCCATAATCGAATGAGTTCCTCTTTTGAGATCTCCCAATCTTCTGGATAATGGCCAAGATATAAGAAGCACGGTTTTAAATGAAAAGGCAACTCAGTGTAACTTAAACCCAAAATCCAATTCACTTTACCATAATCACCTTGTAGTGGGAAATTGTTTAAGTGTGCGTTGATGTTTCTCTGGACCATCTCCCACTCAGCCCTTGTCTTTTTTGTTGCTAGCAAGCCTCCCAACACAGCAATTGCCAAAGGTAGACCTCCACATTTTTTCACCATGTCTCTTCCTGGCATTTCCAATTCTTCTGGACAAGCATGAGACTCTGTCTTGTTTCCTGGGAATGCTTTCGTTTTAAAAAGCTTCCAACTTTCATCATCTGTAAGAAATGAAAGTTCTATCGGGGAGTTGCAAGGATCAGCATGTAGCGCCACGTTCTTGTGGCGTGTTGTGAATAAAATTTTGCTCCCCTTTTTCCCTTTTGGAAAAGCAGGTTTAAATTTATCCCAATCGTCGCTTTTCCAAACATCATCAAAGACTATCAAATATCGTTTTTCTTTCAAGCCATCATAAAGCCTTTTCACCAACTGGGTCTCTACCAGTTTATCATCATTTTGCTCTCCAGGGAGAAGTTTTATGAGGAGATCTTGCAAAACTTCTGTTGGCCTACATTGTTGAGATATAAAAGCCCAAGCACAACAATCAAAATGTCGTTTCACATCTATGTGATTATATACTTTTCTTGCAAGAGTGGTCTTACCTATGCCCCCCATGCCGACTATAGAAACGACATGAAGTCTATCTTCTTCTGCCATCAACTGCACCAAAACATGCCTTGTGCTCTCCTCCAGGCTAACAACATCATCTTCCTCAACATGTGAATATGTTCTCCTTAACCGCTGCTGCATCTCGAAAAAAGAGCTAGACCCGTCTACTCCAGATATCCGATTATAAGCCGGAAGATTCTTAGAAATGCTTTCAAGCTTAGTCTGGATTGATTTGACCTGCACCCCGATTTTGTGCAGACGAAAAGGCTTGGTGAATCTGTTGATGAAT